TGTACCCTATGTGTGTTGTTACTACGGACCTTTGAGACCGCCATGAGAACGTTAAAGGGGGAAGTGTGGGCGTGGATTGGTTGCCACGCAAATGGACAGAAACTACCGCCTATGGTGATTTTTAAGAGAAAGACTTTGCCTAAAGAGACTTTTCCAGCTGGAGCCGTTATTATGGCAAATGAAAAGGGCTGGATGGATGAGCAGATGATGAAAGCGTGACTGAGGGAGGTGTATGTGAGGAGACCTGGTGGTTTTTTCCACGCATCACCATCGCTTTTAATCTGTGACTCCATGCATGCCCATCTCACAGCCGATGTGAAAAACAAGGTGAAACAAATGAACGCTGTGCTCGCTGTAATTCCGGGAGGTCTGACAAAGGAACTTCAACCGCTCGACATCGGTGCAAACCGGCCGTTCAAAGTAAGGCTGCGAGCGGCGTGGGAGTGATGGATGAACGACGGAGACCACAGTTTCACGAAAAGTGGAAGGCAGCGCCGGGCAAGTTACGCCACAGTTCGTGGATGGATTGTAGATGCTTGGGCTAACGTTTCTGCTGGCACTGTTGTTCGAGCTTTCGCAAAAGCCGGCATCATTTCCGAGGAGCCGCACGGCACGGAAAGTGACTCTGACAGTGAATAAGGGGAAATTGGCATGTCTGATTTAGCACAGCTGTTTAATTCAGAAACAGAGGATGATGACTTCGATGGGTTTGATTAATACTTTGTAATAAATACATGAATAAAGCACAATCATACTCAGTTTTGCTCCCGCTCTATTTTTAAATACGCAGTAGAGGTATTTAAAGGTAGTAGAGGATATGTACCGATATATATAACCCGCGCCCTATAACCCGGTGTGTGTTAAATACAGTAATGGCACACATAACTGAGACTGCGCCTTTTAGTACGGTGCGCCTTATGGTCGTGAAAATACGGTAGTCTTTCATAAATATCTCTTGAAAACACTCTTACCACAGGACTCTTTGTGTTTATCCTGTAGGTTGACACCATGCTGAAAATGGGCTTCCAGCAGCAGGTCCTGGAGGTTCTGGAGCATGTCACAGAGGAACACCAGACTCTGCTGGCTTCAGCCACGATTCCAGCAGGGACAGAGGAGTTGGCTGCTCGCTTAGTCCATGACCCCGTACGCATTGCTATAGGGGAGAAAAACCAACCGTGTGCTAACATCAGGCAGATCCTACTTTGGGTGGAGGAGCCGTCTAAGAAGAAGAAGCTGTTTGAAATTCTTAATGTAAGTTCAGATGTTTTTAGATTTATTTTAAAAAGTGCAAGTCAAGAAGTGCTTTGGCTTTAGGGTAAGGTTTTCTGTCTGATCTTGTTCTCTAAAGAGCAAACCAACTTGTTAGAGGGCAGAACAAAAGGTACTGCAGTGGGAAACATTAGTTTAGGTAATTACATCCATATTTAGTGGAGCTGTGTTTCTCTCAGTCCTGCAATGTTTTTTTTTTAATTTTTTTGGTTATTTTTTTAAGTTGGCAACCAATGACCAGTCTCTCTCCAGAGCATATTTATGCAGCAATTACCACAGCCTTGGAGCTATGGCCTCAGCCCAGGAATCCAAGTAGTGGCCAACATCTATCCAAAGAAAGGAAAGAAAGGGAGGCCTGTTCTCTTTGAGAGGCTTAAAAAAGCAGTGTTACACCATAGTTTACCTGACAGTAGCTTCAACTTTTAAGAGAGAGTCAAACTTTTTCAGCATGAAGTTGGAGGCTAGTCTTTATTCAAAGTGCAGATGAGTGAATAAGAAACATTCTGTTGGCAACCTGAACTTATTTGAAAAGTTAAAGGTATAGTGGAGGATGTTTTTTTTTACGGATGGATTATCAAAGTAAGTGGTCCTCTTCATTGTCAAATCAAACATTCTGCTGGTGTGTTTACGTAAGGCCGTCCTAGGTGCTCATCCCCGTTTTCAAATACCGGTGGTGAGTCTGACATGGTGGAAATATTGCTAACGGTCTTTTGGAAAGTAAGCTTGTATGAGCGATGCTAGCAGCAGCTTTTAAACAGAGCATGCACGAGGAGAAATGGGCTCATGCACGCTCCTGCGCGAGTGTAATAGTTGTTCCCTCTCGGGAGCAGGTACAGGTTTGTGCATACGCGTTTTTTTTTTAAAGTGGAGAGGGCTGGTCTTTTCAAAAATTGGCGAAAATCCTCCACTATACCTTTAAGAACACAATGGCATTTTTTAAACTCTCAACAGGTGAAGCTAACAGCATAAAATTTAAGTGATATAAAAAAAAATTATCAGGAAAAAAGGGAAATTGATGTTGAATACATTCATTAGATTGTGATACATTCTATAATTCTACTTTTGGAAACCTTTCAGATTAGGTGTTTATGCCTTCTATAATTTACTTTTGGGTGTTACATTGTCAAATGGCAACAGGTATAGTTTACAGTAGGTTTTATTTCAGGAAATGTAGGCAGATGGATGACATTCTCCAGAGCCTAAATGTAGATTAGGAGATCATCTTTTAAGGTTGATCTGGTTCTTTGACCTTTAAACTGGTTATACTATCAGTCTATATTATGATTAAAACCAAACACACTGTTGTATGCAGAGCAGGCGTTCTGCATGGAACAGTGTGTTTAAAATAATATGAAGTTCTTTAATTGAGCAACCTAATTCACTTTACGAAACACATTATACAGTATAGATTAATTACACAGACTGGGGTTTGTTAGCATTTCTCTTAATTTTGATTTCTGCTTACAGATGATGAAAACAAGAGTTTACACTGAAATTAGTTTCATATCTTACATTGTATGGTAGTAGTGTTGCTGTCATTTTGTGGTTGTAATGAATCCACTTTTCACCTTCTAGGATAATAAACTGTTCCAGCCTCCTGTGGTGGTTTTTGTAGACTGCAAACTGGGTGCTGATCTTCTGTGTGAGGCGGTTGCCAAGGTCACAGGCCTAACAACTGTAGCCATCCATTCTGACAAGACCCAGAGGGAGCGCAACCGCATCCTTAAGGTGAGAGTATGGCAAGCTGTATATGGATACAATGATTTGAAGAGCCTCCATGATTGGTGAAAAAACGTGGGTTTTCCTCATTAACTGTAGTTTTTTAAACCACAAACCCAAACCTAACCAATGTGCCACTATTTAACATTTGGTATTATTATGATTAATTTTAATATTTCTAAAAACTCATAAAGTTCATACAGCTTCTGTTATATAAAATGTGCTCTGATTCTTTAGGGTCTTTTGGATGGAAACTTTGAAGTAGTGATTAGTACAGGTGTGCTGGGCAGAGGACTTGACCTTGTCAACGTGAGATTGGTGGTGAACTTTGACATGCCGAACACCATGGATGAATATGTGCACCAGGTTAGTCAGTCGTTTTTTACACTACACAAGCTGACTAAAGAGTATAACTATAACTACTGTAAAAAATTTAAAAAAATGAATAAATGATGTTGGTTCTTTATAGTGTAATACTCTGGATCGAAATAAAAAAACAAAACGTGTCTCTTGGTTCATTCTCCTGGTTTCCTTATTAGGTTGGCAGAGCAGGGAGACTGGGCCACAGGGGAACTGCGATCACTTTCCTGAACAACAACAACAAACGGCTGTTCCTGGAGGTGGTGAACAGAGTCAAACCCACTGGGTCTATTCTACCCCCTCAGCTCCTAAACTCACCATACCTCTATGAACAACAGAAGAGGGAAAGTCAGAAGACTAAGATGAGAACTGACGACACTCTGGTTACTACAAACAACCTTTTAGACATCATAAAGAAACATGATCGTCGCAAGAAGTAGCTATTTGCTGATTTCCTCTCTATTGCACTGGAGCTCCCTGTTTATGATAAAGATATTACTTTTTTATTTTATGTGTTTCTTTAATAAACATGGATTTTGTATAATTTGATTTGTGTTTTGTAAACATTGTAAGAAAATACAGAATATTCATTCAGAATTTATTAAACCAAAGGTGAGTTTAGGATTTAGGGGATGCCTAGCTCAACTGTTAAAGACCCCGGTGTACCTGCAACAGCAGCAGCTTTGTTTTCAGTAATTTTACATCAAAATATGTGAGATTTGTTTTTTCTGTCTTGGCTGATTTTTCCAAGGAAATTTTTCCAATATATTTTACTGAATTTTCTGGGGGGTTTTTTTGGACACAAGAAACTTACAGACAACAAACTTAAAATTGTAACATGTACTTATACCCATAACATATACCCATTCTATTTGGTATAATTCCCATAATACAGAGTTTAACCTCTAATGGGACTTTTACCTTAAACAATTTAGTTAGACACCTAATAACATCCTTCCAAAACATCTGGATTTGAAGACATTTCCACAAACAATGGAGAAGAGTTAATTTTTCAAATAAGCATTTTGTGTTTCCAAGGAAAGTTAAATAAAACAACAGGATTTAAACCCTCCAACATTTTTGGAATGAAAAGATAAAAACAATGTGTTTTTCTTTACCTATCTGTTCTGACATATTTTTTTCCATAACAGATGGATAAAACCCTTATTGTTTTGCTGCATCATTCTACCTAAAATCTCTATTTACCTGACTTTGAAGAAGAAATAGCTATTACAGCTACCAATTGAAAGAGAGTGGTGTGTTTTCTAAGCATTTCTTAAATTTAGTACAGTTTTTCACAAAACTAATGGTTTTAAAGTCGTGCAGTTTTTTAAAAATTTCTACCAAGATTTGTCTTGAGTATATTTTTCTTATTAGATATCCCCCCTAAGCATGTGATTGTTAAATCTTAACATGAATGGTGGTTTTATCTTAATTCACCATTTATAAACAACATACTAACGAAATAGACTGGTTTAAAATAGACAAAATGACAAAAAAAAAAAAGTTTAGATTTAGCTTGCAGGTGCTGCCACCTAGCGTTAGAATAACATGGCTGCACGCCCGCATCAAAACCGTGACGCAATCATTTCCTATAATTCAGCCAATCAGCGGTCGCGGACTGCTGCGATTTGAAATTGAAGCGGGCGAAGGCGGAAGCGATCAGGAAAAGAGTAAATAAACAAAGTAGCTCCGTTTTTAGCGGAACCATTTAGTTCAGTTTGGGTTCTATTTGCGTTTAAAAAGTTTTCTTCGATGTTTTTAAATCGTTTCCAATCTGTATTAAATGCAGAGGAAAGTTTTGAAAGCTTACAGTTACCGTTAATTAACTAATCTGGAGGATTAATATCACGATGTCTATATTTAGCGTACAGGCGAGGAAACATACAGCCTATTACGACCATTTAGTGTCCGTATCAACGTCCAGGACACCCGGAAGAGACGGAAAGGGATCAGACACCTCTTCGGGAAAAAATGGGATACCAGGCGCTGAATCTGCCGCTGAGGACAGCAGGTTATCTGATAAAAGCCGACAGGAAAACAGGACTTATGTCATTTCTGCGCTGTCAAAGGGCGGCAGTGGGCAGCAGACTCCTCACCGAGGCAGACTCACCCTTCAGAGGAGGTCAAGGAGGAAAAGTGCTGGAAAATCTTTGACTGAAAGTAGCCAGAAGAGCCCTCCTGCTCCAGAGAAGAGACTAACTCTGCAGCGCAGGACCAGGACTCCCTCCGTGGATAAAAGCATGCGTGGGCAGCGTGGGGTCAGCGGCACGGCTGGCCCACAGCCTGCACCGAAAGTCCTCAGTGAACCAAACGGCAGACAGAGTTTAATTCGGTCTGCAAGTTTAAGAGAAACTAGGTCTAAAATAAAGGGATCAGAAGGTTTGACCACCAAGGGGCCCTTCAGGCACCTGGATGATTCTGCTCCCACGTTTAAAACGCCAACCAAAAAGACCCCGTTTGAAAGAATTGCGGCTAAAAGAGAAGTTTTTGAGAGACTGGCTTCTAAAGGAGCACCAAAACAAGACGGGCCTAAAAACACAGCTCAACAAGCAGAAAAGATTAAACCTGTTCCAACTCCCAGGGCCGGCAAAGCTTCCTCAGGGGGGCCCAGAGCCCATGCTTCTGTTCAGGAGAGGAAGCCAAGCATCACAGGTCAGGAAGGGGAGCTGCACCCTGCAAGGATGTCCACTCCATCCCTGAGCCATTCTGGGGAGACTGAGGAGCAACAGGAGACCTTAAAGATGGAGAACAGTGCAGTGACCGTAGCTGTCCGGGTCCGACCTTTCAGTGCCAGGTTAGTGGAGGGCCCGTTTGCAGGGGTGCAGCTAGATTTTTTTCCCTCTAATACAGAAGGTGGCAGCAGTAATACTCTGAAGGGGAATGTTCAACCTTATTAAACATTTAAATGTTTCTTATATTAACAACTACTTGACATAAGAAACCCTGTGGTTAATTATGCACACCAATATACAAACATTAAAGATGATAGATACAGAATTCATGCTCTTTTCAGAACTACACTTTGACTTATTTGGCGTAAAGATAAAATTATGTGTCTCTGCAAGTCATCTAGGAGTCTTCAGTGAAATCATAGATAAATAACTACTTTAATAATAACATAAAAAATGTATTAAATGTGGATATAAGTAGATTTAAATATAATTTTTTATTGCAGAATGATTCTTGATAAAAGTAGGTAATGACAATTGAAATATGTTCGCCCCAGAACTCAAACCTGAAAGAATTTTGTCCAATATACTTTTTAATTACACAGCATAGATGTTTAAATATTTGCGTCTATTTGTAGCAAAGGCTGCAGGAAAGTATCAGGGTCCTGAGGATCTGGTGCCTTTCAGCCATCCCTCAATGTTTATTGGTTATTGAATGGTGACCCCTATTAGGATTTTCTGGCTACGCCTCTGCCCATTTTTGGCCCCTGATTTCAGTTAAAAAAAATGTAGAAAAAATGTCCCAATTTCTGACAGATTCTTATGACAAGAATCTTATTTGGAGGATGTTGGATGCAGAACAATCTTTCTCTTGTCATGCATTCTTTCTTCTTTGTTTCATATCATCAGTGAAAAGGGCCGCAAACTTCCAGTGACTATTCTGGATAAACATGTTTATTAAATTTGGCTAAGTACAGTCAATGTTTTTAAAGAAAATTATTAGGAATTTATTTTCTGTCTGTTTGGAATAAAGTTTTATTCGGAACAAAAATCTAAATTCAATCCTAAAAAGTTAGAAGGCTGATCGTTATCTGCACCTGCTATTACTTTTAATTCGTTTTCAATAAAATATTGTATAGTTTGCTGAATAGGGAAAAGAGGAATTCACAAATTCATTATTTTGTGATTTTTTTATTTTTTGGAGAGGGAGAAAACAGGGAGAAAATTGGAATGGCCCCTGAGAACTTTCATCTTGCTTATTGTGGTACTTGGTGCAAAATTCAATTCAATTCAGTTTATTTATATAGAGCCAATTCACAACACATGCCATCTTAAGGCACAGTTCCCCAGATTTAAAGTTTTCTATCTAAGGAAAACCAGTTGATTGCATCGACTCATTGCCTCGAATGCAATCCGTTGCACTAAACATGCTTGTAGCGACAGTGGAGAGGAAAAACTCCCTTTTAACAGGAAGAAACCTCCAGCAGAACCAGGCTCAGTGTGAGCGGCCATCTGCCGAGGCTGACTGGGGTTCAAGGAGCCAGAAGCAGAGATACAAAAAGCAGCTTTAAAAGGCGGCTCCGTCCAGGAAACACACAGCCAGGCAGACGAGCTCCGAGTCAGCTCCCATGTCGGAGGATGCAGAGAGCACATCCAGCCAGTCACAGTCAGAAAAACAGGACTACACTGAAAAAACAGGCTGATCTCCTACATCTATAAACAAAGGTGTTGATAGCAGAAAAGTTGATCCAAAATGTTTGGACCACTCTGTTTTAAAGAGTCTACAGAGCCTCAAACAAAGTTTATGCATTCAGTGACATTTATTTTTCATCACATTTCACATTACAGACACTTATTTAATAAGCCAATCAAAGAAAAGGTGATTATACAATTTATTTTTTTGCTATTTTTTTTATTTTTTACAAACCATAAATTCAGAAGTGTTGTGTGCATTGTTATTTGGCATAAGTCCTGTGATTGTGATTCCTTTTTATTGAAAATGTAGTCCAAACAACTGCCTTTGAAAGTCACTTGATTAAATAATAAAAGCACAACGGAGAGCAAAGGGCACCGCAAATGGGTTATGGGAGAAAAAAACAATACCTCAAGCTTTGAAAATCTCCCGGAGCATCGCACTGTTTATACTCTATACTACTATGGTTGACTGCCTTTATTCACTGACTCAATGCAGGAAAAAAAAGAAGGAAAAAAGCAGCTAAAGCAGCTCTGCAGACTGGGATTTAAATGTCTAGCATTTCTAGATAAGGACCGCTATATATGGGGTTTGTCACACCTTGTAAGGGACATATGTAAGAATTGGCGCTCTGGTCACAGGAGACCAAAATGTTTGGTATCTCTACAGGTGGAGGAAAACTTCAGAGTTTTTTTTTTTTTTTTAAAGAGAGAGATGGGGCTAAATACAGAGAAAGAAAAGCTGAAGGCTGAAATAGACCTGAAACCAAGTGGATTACATTGCTGCACCACATTTTAAAGATTTTCATTTGGAAAGAGGGTTACATTTCGATTGATTTGGTTTAACTTTATCAGAACACAAATCCCAACAAAATGCAAAGATGTTGACCTTCTAATTGGACAAAAATCTATCAAAAAATAGTTAGGTTCTCTTTGCACAGCACTGTACTTATGTGTATGTAGCTGGTCTAAAGTTCCCAAATAGCTCGTCTGTTCTTAATTTGAACTTTATTGGGGGAGAAATTCAAGCCAAGTGTGTTTTGTATCTTCTGCTTTATTATAGAGAGAAGGCAGAAAAGGCCTCGCAGGTCATCTTCATGAACGGCCAGGAGACAAACGTCCAGCATCCAGACTCCAAGCAGAGCTACTCCTTCATTTATGACTTCTCCTTCTGCTCGGTGGAGGCCAGTGATCCGACCTTTGCAGGTCAAAAGACTGTGTACGAGACCCTGGGCAGGCCTTTGTTACAGAGGGCTTTTGAAGGATTTAACACCTGTTTGTTTGCATATGGCCAGACGGGTTCTGGTAAATCATACACGTGAGTGTTCCTTTCACTGCATCAGTTTTCCTCCATCAAACCTGTCACCTTTTCACCTTGATTGCTTTGAATTTGGCTGCTTCCTGCAGGATGATGGGCTTCGAGGAGGAGGCTGGGGTCATCCCACGGTTCTGTGAGGAGCTTTTTATGAAACTGGCCTCCATGGAAGAGGTAGCTTCACACTCAACTGGATGGCTAGTTAAAAATTTTAATGGCTAATTACCTTTTGTTTTTACTCCCAAAGCAAATTTTGTTATTAGAAAAATAGTTTTTATTCCTATCAGGTATGAAAACCTATTTTTTGCCTTTTTCAGGTGAAATGCCATGTCGAGATGAGCTACTTTGAAGTGTATAATGAAAGGATTCATGACCTGCTGGTGACTAGGGAGGAGCCAAACCAAAGGAAGATGCCGGTAAGTACTTCCTAGCAGATAGCTGGTTATTTTAGTGGGCTGTAGGAAGATTTTTTCCTTTTAAATTAGCCGTTTTTGTGTTAAGTTTTGTGTAGAGCAGAAAAAATAATACCCATTTTCGAAAGTTTGGTTTCCAAAAAATGCTAGTAGGAAACGCCTTTTTGTTATTAAAGTGATTAGAAGCTGGATTATGAAGATCTAACACTGGGGACTTATTTTTCAGCTAAGGGTGAGAGAGCATCCAGTCCACGGTCCTTATGTCGCTGAGCTCTCTGCGTAAGAAAAAAAAATTTCTTTGTAGGTTCATCTGATTCAAATGAAAGCTAAAAGGGTAAATCTGAACCTCTTATTTCTTTACTTTTTCAGGAACGTGGTGAGCTCTTACAGAGACATTCAGGTAAGCTAGAACTACTGTTATTGTGTTTTTCTTCTCTTACATGTAATGTTAAAGAGGAAATAAGCTGAAATTATCACCAAAATACATGGTTCTAAATTTTAGAAATGTGTCATAATTAGCAGTACCTTATCTTACAGGGCTGGTTGGAGCTTGGTAACAAACAAAGGGCCACAGCAGCTACAGGAATGAATGACAAAAGCTCCAGATCTCACTCTGTCTTCACCCTGGTTATGACCCAGACTAAGGTATGCACCCACTGTCACACAATAACCTGGGGAGGGTTTTAATAGATCATCCAGAGAGACATTTATGTGTTTTCAGACTGAGTTTGTGGAGGGAGAGGAACATGACCACAGCATCTCCAGCAGGATCAACTTGGTGGACCTCGCAGGCAGCGAGCGCTGCAGCACAGCCCAGACAAGCGGGGACAGACTCAGGGTATGCAATAGAGCAGGGATGTCCACCTCTGCTTCCTGTAGTCTTTCTACTTAAAGAAAGACAGTTTGGGAACTGATTTTGTTTTCACTATCTCTTTATTTAATTTTGAAATGAAAAATAGCATGATATCAGTCTACACTGATGAAATAAAACACCTCTCAGATTGCTTGACCTTTAGTCACATGAAAAAATAGGGCATCTAATTGCTTCCGTTTGGTTTTTCTAATATTTTTATTTCAAATAGATTTATTAACCCTGAACAATTCACATGATATAGATTTTTTTTTTAAATTAGGAATGAATCACTTAATTGTTAATTGAAATAACGGTCAACTAATTTAGAAATCTAATTATGGCTGTGGGGAATATACAGACTCCACCATATGCCACTTGCTGAAATAACATAAAACGCAGAGAAAAGTGTACTAAAACAGAAATTTTAGCTTAAGGTGGTTATTAATCCGTAAAAGTTTGATATTCAAAATAATCGCTAAAATGTTTTTTTCAATATTTTCTGTAAAAAAAAAGAAAAAAAAAGAAAAGGAAAATAAACTCTCAATGAACACTTGTGCATGTCTCCGCATTAGACGTGGTCAAAATCACAATGAGATTTTTGCATCAGGTTTGTTTGAATAAAAATATTACCAAGTATTTTGAAGAAGCTGATTAAACCTCAGACTTTTACTTTGGTTTTACTGTCGGCTCAACCAAGAGTGAAACCATAAATAAGTTAGCTGTTTAAAGCCTTCAGTCAGAAGATTGTAGCAGCTTATGAGTTTGGTGAGTGATTAAAAAAAATGTAAGCAAGCTGTAAAAAGGAGAGGATTCAGACAACAATCTGCCTTGATTAGGTTTGGCTGCTTTAAACCAATCTACATTTTATTAGTTTATTCAGAGCAGAAAGCAGTATCCCTAAAGAAGTCCTTAAAAGTTTATAAAGACATCAGAGCAGCTAACGAGCATTTGCTAATGTGGTATGAGATTCCTGCAACATCATTAAAGGGACAGCAGGAGTTTAAATCTCATGGAAAGGCTGGGAGGATGACATGTGTCCTGGGACAGATCATTATAAAAAATAACAATTTGGACCCCAGAAAGGGAAAACCTGTAAAGCTCATACCAAATGTAAAACGGATCTAAAAAAAAAAAAAAAAATCAGTGCAGCATGTCCTAACCAGCTTATCAGAGGGAAAATGGGGGAAAAACAAGAAACAAAGGAGTAATATTAAGGCAGAAAGGGGCCAGGTGCAACGTCACACTAATCTTTTCACTTAATTGATTATATTTTATAAACTAAAATGGCTTCAATTGTAATATAAAGTATACGTTTAAAAAGTAAAGTTTATTTTCTTTTACCTTTTCAGGAGGGAGCCAGCATCAATAAATCCCTGCTAACTCTTGGAAAGGTCATCTCTGCTCTATCAGAGCAGGTGCTCACCAGGAAGAAGGTCTTTATCCCGTACAGAGAATCTGTTCTTACGTGGTAAGTATGCTGAAAACATTGAGCTTTCCTCCCTCAGAAAGAGAACCATGAACTGAACCAATAAGCCAGGTTTATACTATATATGCTACCCTTTAAATGTGTCGGTCCTCATGATGAAGATTTGGCTAAACCCTTAAAATAAGTGGTTGTTAGGGATACTGTGAGCCCCATAGTATGATGCTAAACTCTACGCCCTCTTATCACTGTTTTCACTCTTCTAGTTGTTTTAGAAAATGTAGAATTTTTTGCTCAGACTATATAGATTGAGGTTCATAACTGCTTTGCAGCCATTTCATGACTCATGAACAGATATAAACGATTCTGAGCAGATTTACTGAAATGGCATGTTCTCCTGTCTATCAGGGAGTCATACTTTTTTATATGCATTAATTAAACTACTAATTGGATTTCTGTTCAACATATTGTTTCTCAGGATTTTATTATTTTCTCCCGCTGAATAAATGTACTCAAATGAAAGATTTTATTTTTTTTCTAAATGTATATTGGGAGATAATGATAATTGAATTAAAAGAAAAAGTATATTTTTTAACACGATTTTAACATGGATACCAATAATTGTAAAGGGAACTCAGTGACTTAGAAATTAGGCCAAAACTTTCTTAAGAAATGTGGGTTTTATTTTTTCTCTTCTTTGTCTCACAGGCTGTTAAAGGAGAGCCTTGGGGGTAACTCCAAGACGACCATGATTGCCACCGTTAGCCCGGCTGCCACCAATGTGGAGGAGAGCCTGAGCACGCTGCGCTATGCCCAGCAGGCCCGCACAATCATCAATGTGGCCAAAGTCAACGAAGACACCAGCGCCAAGCTGATCCGAGGTCAGACATCCACGATTTATACAATCAAATTAGTGCACCTTCTTTCTTTGAACTTATCGAGTAGAAGTTTCCTTTATTACTTCTTCAGACGTCAGAACTTTCGTTCTTCCGCTGCCTTTTTTTATCTCTGGAAAGTTTGATCTTCATCCTCTCTCCTCCCAGCGTTGCACCCTGCCCTCACATTTATCTCTCACTCCCTCCTTTGCTCTCGAGCTGAATTAAAGTGTGGCCCTAACCTTGCCTCCTGCCCTTATTTATGCACTGTCAGTGGCACGTAGCGGCTAACTGCCATGCAAGTATTATTTTTCATGCAACGTTTGTGCTGCTGTTAGATCTTCTTAGCACTAAGGGGAGCTCTTGCTACAGATTTAGCTCACCTCATCGCTCTGTGGGAGACTCGTTTAACTGAGCAAAGCCTCATGTAAATCATCAGATTGGGGTTTAGGTCAATGATAATATCTGAATATTTCTAAAGTAAAATTAATCAAATCCGTACAACATTTCCATGTAACTCTTTTTTTGCTGTTTTCTCATTACAAACCATCTACTCTTACCTTTGTAGAGCTGAAGGCAGAGGTGGAGAAGCTGCGTGCGGCCCAGATGAGCTCCCAGGGGGTTGAACCACAGAGAGTCAGGATGTTCCAGCAGGAGATCAACACCCTAAAGAATAAACTCTGTCAGCAAGAGAGGGAAATGTTTGAAGCCAATCGGTTAGCATCACTGCAATCATCCTAACATTTCTTATAGCTTCTCTGCTTTTTGGAATCCTGATAGGATAAGTTCAGGTGTCTGGGTTAGAAGAATGCAAACAATAACAACATAGAAAAACCTGGTTGTCAGCGCCGTGGAAGTGTCATTAGAAGTTTCACAGTATTTAACACACAACTGGATATTATTATTATCAAGTGACTGAAAAAGACGCTTTTATTGGAAAAATTCAGAGCTAAAAATCAGAGCTAAAATAATTTCTACGTTTGTTTTTTTTATTTTTTATTTAAAATCAGAATTTAGGTTTGGTTTGTTTTGTTTTTTTCATTTTACGAGAAATATTACATGATATATTAACATCTTTGCCCCTGCATATCAGTTTACAGCAGTTTCCCTTATTTTGATTGATTAATGCAGCTTTATTTTGATTCACTCTGAATTTATTAATTTGGGAACATGTGTATGATTTTTAACTCTGTTTTGCAGAGCTTGGAGAGAGAAGCTTGAGCAAGCAGAAATACGAAAACGGGAGGAGACCAAAGAGTTACAGGTGTGTATTTATTTTCCCTTCTTTTCAAAATGAGTACAAAAACTTAAAGTTGTCTGTTTAAAAAGGGTAAGCAGAGGAAAAACTCCAAGTATTTCTCTCTTTATTTAATCAGAAAGTAGGCGTGACGTTCAAAGTGGACAATCGTCTTCCAAACCTGGTGAACCTGAACGAGGACCCTCAGCTGTCAGAGATGCTTCTCTATATGATCAAAGAGGGCCGGACCACTGTAGGGAAGCTCAAACCGGACTCCACTCATGACATTCAGCTGACTGGAACCCTTATCGCTGATCGCCACTGGTGAGAATCCGACCCTGGTAGTTTAGGAATACAGTGTTCAGTTAAATAAACGTTAAATTACATTTTAATATTTTAACCTTTTTCTTTAAGTGTCATATCCAACATACATAATACTGTCAGCATCATCCCTATGGACAATGCTAAGACCTTTGTCAATGGGAACCTCATCTCTGAATCTACTGTGCTACATCATGTAAGTACTGAAAAATATTTGTTAGCTTCCATTATGGCAGATTAACTACAGCAAACATCCTGCCAACAATGAGACACTTTTATGCACATGTTAATTTCTTTTATTTTTTATTTTATATGTGGTATCCAGGGTGACAGAGTTATCCTGGGTGGGGACCACTACTTTCGCTTCAATCATCCAGCAGAGGTGCAGTCTGGGAAGCGGGTTTCATGCTGGACAGGAGCTGGTGATGGACAAAAAGACTTTGAATTTGCAAAGAATGAGCTACTTGCTTCTCAAAGAGCAGAGTAGGTTTTTAAGAAGCTTTTTAATTTAATCTACCAGGTAATATCAGAATTCCTTTAGGTTATACGTTATTTTTTTGTGTTATTTTTTCCTCAGGCTGGAGGCAGAAATCGAAGAAGCTCATTTAAAGGCAAAAGAGGAGATGATGCAAGGAATTCAGATGGCCAAAGAGGTGGCTCAAAAAGAGCTCTCTGACCAGAGGGCCCTTTATGAAAATAGGATCCAAACTTTGGAGAGAGAGCTGGTAGGTTTAAAACCTTTCATAGCCTGATACAAAATATAAAAATAAAAAAAATCACATGGAGGGTTTTTTGAGATACATAAACATATAAACATTAAAATCTTATGATCAGTGTGGATAAATTTAACTGAACTTGTCCAAGTTTTTGAGGGTTTTTTTAATTGTTAGTCCATATTTTTCTTGTAAATCCAACATACAAGGACTACTTAGTGAGGTTAAAAATATCTTTCAAAATATATATCAATGTTTAAACATTTGTACAGGCCATATTATCTTACGTGGAGTTTTTTTTTCATCATAACTAACATAGATAAAGACTTGAAAGGATCATAGTTTATGTATTTAATTAAACGATGTGTTTCACTTAAAGAATTGGGTTGCTGAACTAAAAAAAATGTTTCAATAATCCAATTTTTCGAGTGGCATCTGCAAAAAAAAATACACACAGTTTTTGATAAAAATTTTTTAAGCATAAAAAAACATAGCAAATTGATTTGAATTAATTAATTAATCATATAATTCATTTTTTTTTTTTTTGCAATATAAGGTTTTGTGCTACATTTAATGCAAAGCTTCTAGGGAGGTATTTGCAGCCACAATGTTCTAAATCTCTCTTCTTATGTATATATAGTTATGTATGTATGTGTATATATATATATATATATATATATATA